AGTACTGACCAAAATACTGTTCAAGTAGCATAAAGTAGATTTGTAAACAGTCTTAATTTGTGTTTCTTCAGCCGGTTCATCCTTCACATCCCCAGTGAGGAGCGGGACAATGCTATCAGAGTGTGCTTCCAGATTGAGCTGGCCCATTGGTTCTACCTGGACTTCTGCATGCAGAACACTCCAGGAGCACCTCACTGTGGGATCAGAGACTTTGCCAAAGCTGATATCCTTACACCTAACTCACTGTTTTAAACTACAGTAGTCCCTTGCTACTTCGCGGTTCATTTTTTGCAGACTCGCTCTATCGCGGTTTTTCAAAGTAGGATTGGAAATGACACACAATTGGCTGATTGTTGGATGAGCCGCACGATCAGCATGGAATTTTTATTTAAAATTAATTATTTTAAACAATTTAGCACCTGCTGCACCTGTGTGCAGCCCAAAGCTGTGGGAGAAGCTTCCTCCTGCAGCTGATCAGCTGATCTCTGTGCAGAGCAGAGATCTTCTTTTTTTGTAGCCTAAATAATTCCAAACAACGGACGTGCTGCCTCTCTTTGGTACCAAACTTTCAGATATGTCAGCTTCTGTCAAGCCTGACCCCAGTGTGCAACCGGTTAAAGCACAGTTTTGACTTCTCCCGCTCCCTGCTCTGCTTTGCTCCGAGCTGCTCACTTGTAAGCCATGTAGCCAGATCATGTGTGACCTGTCAAATTGCAGCCTTTGTGATTAGAAAATTTTGTTTTATCATATTGCGATATTGCAAATGCAATTAATTGTTCAGCCCTACTACTTACGGTACTACTTGTACGACTATTCCTACTTCGCAGTCTTTTACTTATCACGATGCTTCAGGGTATGGATCCTCCACAACAAACAAGGGACTACTGTATTTTAATATATTTTTATTTATCAGAGCTGATAAATTTGATGTACCAAATGGGGCTGGTGCTTATGCTAACCTGTGCTTGTAGACTTTATTTTCTTTGACAGCTGCAAACTTTTCCATCATTGTCCCTTTTTGCTGCCTCATGGAGAAGATGTGCAGAAGGTTCTCGAGCAGTGGAAGGAGTACAAGATGGGTGTACCGACTTATGGTGCGATTATTCTTGACGAATCACTAGAGAATGTGAGTTTTTTGAGTTATGCTCAGTTTACACATTTGAAGAATATCTGATGGTGTTTTTATTTGATTGTTGGTTTAAATTTTGCTATTAGCGAGTACATTTTATAGATAAGATTTGAAAGCATGAGGAAAAGAAAGACTGTTAATAGTCTGTTAAAGTCTCTTAATAGAGTGTCTACAAGAAAATATAGCAAATACCATGTAAAGGAGTTAATGTTAAATACCGGTAGTCTTTTAAAATTTGCTGTTCATGTTTCAGATGACCACACAGATTAGTCACAGAGGTATGACCTATGATTGTCAAACTGTGGTATATTTACCACTGGTGGTATTCAAAATAGCTTTTTTGTATCAACAGTTGAAATAACGAACTAATTAATCACCATGTGCCTAACTGTGATGTAAATCAGAGAGAGGGTAAAAAATATGAAAGGTTAAAGCAATTTCTAATCTTGTATCCAAATAGAAACAACTTGAGACACAACTAAAGTACTGTCTCAAGTATTTTTTAGTTTTTTAAGTATTTTAAGTTTCTTCAGTTTTTAGTTTCATGAATGTGGAAACCAGGCCATGCTAATGGCTACCTAAGCAGTGTCTGAAGTTACTGCAGGACCTGCAAAAGTTGCAAAATGGCAACAAGGTCTGGTTCAAGTTATCTCAAACTTGTTGTGGGGCAAGCAAAAAGCCAAGACCACACTGTGTGTGTACTGTATGTGACACTGTAATGATGTAACCTTTAACCACACCATTCAACCAGGGTTAGGTGTCTTTTTTTGTGTCTCAGTGGTTCCCCCTAAATCAGTCCCAAGTAGGGTCAGAGGTAAGATATGGGCCATGCCAATCAAGATCCTGTCCTTAGGATTGTTGGTATCATTTTGGGACACACCTTTTGAATTTATTAATTGTTTTGGTCATTATTACTAGACAGCCTCTCCCAAAGAAGGCCCAGCCGATTAATCAGGCCTTTCCGTGTCTCTTAGCCTTCTGGGTTTGTTTAAAGTTACGGTTCAGATAAATCACTTTAGGTTTTAGGCTAGATTTAGATATTGATGTTGATTGAATGGTTAAGTTTGGTGGCACTACTTGGAACGCTTATTATTTTCCTGTGGTGGTAATCGTTAAAAATGATTGCCTTCGTCAGGTCATGGGTGAGGTTCTGCCTCAAGTGGATGAGTTCAAGTATCTTGAGGTTTTATTCACGAGTGAGGGAAGAATGGAGCGTGAGATTGACAGATGGATTGGTGCTGCTTCTGCAGTATTGTGGACTCTGTACCAGCCCGTTGTGGTGAAGAGAGAGCTGAGTTGTAAGGCAAAGCTCTCTGTTTACCGGTCGGACTACGTTCCTACCCTCACCTATGGTCACGAGCTCTGGGTAGTGACCGTAAGAATGAGATCCTGGATATAGGCGGTTGAAATGAATTTCCTCTGCAGAGTGGGACTCTCTAGAGATAGGGTGAGAAGTTCAGTTATGTGGGAGAGACTCCGAGTAGAACTGCTGCATCGAAAGGAGCCAGTTGAGGTGGTTCGGGCATCTGGTAAGGATGCCCCCCTGGGCACCTCCCTAGGGAGGTTTTTCAGGCATGTCCAACTGGGAGGAGAGATGGAGAGAAAACATCTTTCTACAAAAAAGAAACTGTCCAGATGACCTGATTGACCATTATTGGATTTTGTACCTGGATGATTGAGCATGAACTTTGATGTCTTGAACCACGTTGGCTGTGGCTGCCTGCCTGGGAGGAGTTGACGGGGGACAGGACAGCTCCCAGAAACCATCTTATCACCAGCAAACTGGTTGGTCCACTAAGAGAGTGTACTGTGGGGAAAACAGTTTACTTGGGACTCCTCAGACTGATGAAACCCTCCGGATAGAGGGCGAAACATCTTCCCACAAAAAAAAACTGTCCAGATGACCTGATTGACCATTAATGGATTTTGTACCAATAATGGGTCAATTAATAATAATTTGGGCCCACCCTTTCTGTTTGATTGGGTGAACCATCATTTTGTTTCCACCCTCTAAGTCAGAGAAATTTATTCTGACATTTAGTTTTAGTTAGTTTTGGGGAAAGCTTTTGAAGAAGGATCCGAACGATCCAAAAAATGTTCCAGAAGATACGAAGTTCCATTCAGACAAAGTGAGACCAAGTGTTCCAGTTGTGTCCAGCTTCAAAGGAAGACACCGATTTACCAAAAAGGATAAACACAGCCCTCCTGAAGTACAGCAACTGCCCCATTGGAGCCAGCTACACCGACTCCTGACATCAACCGATGTCCCGGTGCTGAGGGGGGGTCCCACCTTTGCGACGCTCAGGTCATCTCAAGAGTTTCATTCTGGTATCCTCGGGTGATTGAAAAAGAACTGTAAAGATCTGTAGGAAAAAGCTGCTCATTCCTTTGCTGGTTGTCTGGTGTCAGAGATAAGAAGCCGTTCAGTCTAAGCATTCTCATTAAGGTATCATCATTATTATATTCATTGAAATTAAGCCCTTTTAAATCCTAAATTGACAAATTACATCTAGCCAAAACGCTTCCTTTAGTTAACTTTATAGATAATTTACTATGCTTTTTGAACCTCATAATACACCATATTAAATTTAAAAGTTAAATAACCTTTTTTCGTGTTGTCAATTTAAAGCCATTATTCATTCTTCAGCTGTATTTACCACTCTTGATCACCTCCATATATATCACTAATAAACATCACAAAATTGTACTTTGAGTCTGTGTGTTTTATTATATATGGCATCTGAATTTGATATGACAAGAACTCACTAGAATAAGCTAAATTTTGAGTCTGATTTTTATATTGTCTTGCCTGAAATGATTTAGAACCGGAAAGCAAGTGGTGCCCCTTTCAAAATAAAATTACTAATCAAAATCCAACGATTTTGAGGACCTCATCCTCTACAAATGGAACTGAGTGGTCCACCAACATAAAGAACACTACGACAACATGCATTTGTGCTTTAGTTGGTTCATCTTTTCTCTTCAGGTATTACTTGTTCAGGGCTACCTTGCAAAATCTGGCTGGGGCTTTCCAAAGGGGAAAGTGAACGAGGATGAAGCTCCCCATGACTGTGCAGTTCGTGAAGTGAGTTACAGTATACATCATTAGATAGCAATATGTGTATTATTAGTGTATTAAGTTCACGGTCCAACTTTATGATTGCGGCCCAGGTTTTGGAGGAGACGGGCTTTGATATCAAGAATCTGATCTGTAAGGACATGTACATCGAACAGAAGATCACGGACCAGTTGGTGCGGCTCTATATCATACCAGGGGTGTCCAAGGATACAAAGTTTAACCCTAAAACAAGAAAAGAGATCAGAGTACGTAATACTGGTGATTTCTTGATTTCTGACACTAACAGGCATGCTACATTGACCTTTTTACAGTTACTATTGTGCTGCTCAAAGTCAGTATTTTGCGACGCACTGTGGTCTAAATAGTTTCATGCCTATCTAGTTTTGATTTGTTGAAATACACTTACTGGTAGCCTAAACATTGTTCGTGTCTAACTCTGTTTCAGTTGTGCTCTGCTGTCATTCAGACACCCGGCAACATTGCATGTCGCACTCACAATGTAAAATAATAGAACTAATTTACAAATGTGTTTTTATATAATGCTCAATAAAAATAACAGTGTAAAAGACAGCTGTGAAACTATTTGGGGTCGCAGTGCCCAATTTTACGCATGTGCCATAGTAATTGTAAAAAAGTCAGTTGAAATGTAACCTTTGTTTTTTTTCCTTGCAGAATATTGAATGGTTTTCTATTGAGAAGCTGCCCTGTCACCGAAATGATATGACCCCAAAGTCTCAACTTGGACTGGCTCCTAACAGGTTTTTCATGACCATTCCATTCATGAGGTATGTGCATGGACTTTACTGGTTGTGTAGTTTTATTTTTCTGTAATGGGGCTCTCTTGCAAATGAGACAATTGTGTTTAAATGTGATTAACATGTATAAATAAGAGAAATGAAATAGAAGTCTGTTTTTCGAAGAAATAAACATGAATAGTTTCATCAATACAGCAAATACACGTGCACTTTTTCATAAGACTGAGACAACGAGCGGACGTTTAACTAAAATTCATAACAGCAGTGAACAGAGTTCAATATGACGAAGTGTCGAGTAATTCAAAGTTAATTTTTGTGTCCATAAATGCATTACTTTTAGAGCATTTTCTCTCTTTTTATACCATTTTACAGAAGTAAAAAGGTAGAAAAATAATTGAGAATAAAAAAAATCAGACTAATAAGTAAGGTACACAATAGTCATTTTATCTTCAATTTAATATCCATCCATCCATCATCCATCCATTCATCCATCCATCCACCAACATACATAAATATATATATATATTTTTTCACATACATATACAAACCGGATTCCAAAAAAAGTTGGGACACAAAACAAATTGTGAATAAAAACTAAATGCAATGATGTGGAGATAGCAAATGTCAATATTTTATTCGTAATATAACAGATGACTGATCAAAAGTTTAATCTGAGTAAATGTAACATTTTAAAAGAAAAATATGTTGATTCAAAATTTCAACAGTGTCAACAAATCCCAAAAAAGTTGGAACAAGTAGCAATAAGTGGCTGGAAAAAGGAAATTGAGCATATAGCGAACAACTGGAAGACCAATTAACACTAATTAGGTCAATTGACAACATGATTGGGTATAAAAAGAGCTTCTCAGAGTGTCAGTGTCTCTCAGAAGCCAAGATGGTAAGAGGATCACCAATTCCACCATTGTTGCGCAGAAAGATAGTGCAGCAATACCAGAATGGTGTTACCCAGCGTAAAATAGCAAAGACTTTTAAGTTATCATCATCAACCGTGCATAACATCATCAAAAGATTCAGAGAATCTGGAACAATCGCTGTGCGTAAGGGTCAAGGCCGTAAAACTCTACTGGATGCTCGTGATCTCC